CCCAAAAGAAACGAAGGCTGAGAAATGGAAGTTGTTCGCTGTCTTTATTTGTTTGTAGTCAGCTTATCTTGCTGTGTTTTGTTGAGTATATCATATTCCTAACAATAACCCACCGATCGCAGAGTTGCTGTCCTTCGTCTTGTTGTGGGAAACAGGGCAATTGCTGCTGGGGAGTAGTGGAGGAGGAGATAATGATGCAGGAGGATGAAGCATGTAACGCGTGATGTGTTTAGTAACTACTGTAGTCCAAACCATATTTGAATACTGTTTTCCCTTTACCGTGTCGTTAAGCTATCTGTAATCTTGTGTGTTTTCATTGTTCTTGTACTCTGTCAATTTGACGAGTCAGTTTTGTAGGACTCCACCGAAGTACCAACTTGTTAATAATAGTTCGTCTCGAATTTTTCTCGTGGTGTAACTATCAGAATGGAATGATTGTGTGAACATTATTGGAAGTTAAATTCTAAATGTTGAGTTTTAAAAATAATACACAAGTGGCACATCCGGGAGACAGTGAAACAACCATATACCATTGAGCTATACATTAAGCGAAACACCTGGGCTTTCAACTTGTTCGCAGGTGCAAAATGCATGCCATTGTCCTCCTCTTGCTTCCATCAGATCATTGAGCATGCCTTTGTCCTCCTCTTTGATTCTATATATGATGAGTTTGTCCTGTAATTCTAAATCATGTAAGTATTTTATTTGCAAGCATCAATCAATCTCTCCTGTACAAATCCCAGGGCCTTCAAAATATCCGTCAGACTACACTACTACTGCACTATTCAGTTTGAGATCAGATGCCCCAAGTAAAACTAACAACTGATAGACCACGCAAAAATAAAGAGAGGAAAAAAAACTGATACAAATTGCTTGTAAGAAAATAACCAGCTTTCACAAGAATTAATATATTATAAACAGAGCTACTGCAGGAATAATGGAGATTTTCAGCCAAGAACTAGACCAGCAACCAACATACTAGATCCAAACTGTATCCTTGGAAGTGATCAACAAACTGTGGTCATCAACAAATTCAAAAAATATTCCCAACGAAAAAAGATGTCCAAAAATTTCATCCAAAGAGAGAATTTGAGACTTCATATGATCTCCATGGCAAAAGTGAGAACCTTCTTCACTGGGAGGATAGATTAAGGATAACAATGAAAACTGCATGCCCTTTGAGAACACAAAGATATAGCGTGCAGATACACTACTCATTGATATCTCACGCTCTCTTAGTTCCAATATGTGTGTCAATATGACATGAGGATGGACCAGATAGCAGTGTGATGCTTTCTTCTATACTGAATGATGACATGGACATACCAGGTCTCATTATTATCAGTTTCATACTGGATTAGCAACAAAATCAGCATATCTAACAGACATACTATAGCAGACAATAACACTTAGTTAGGCCAAGATCACCGAATCAGGAATTAACAGCCTGACACGCAGAGTGAAAAACAAATTGTGCCATACCTAGTTACCAATTTCCAGACCTGTTCTTGGTTCATGCAAATCTGAATATAGTGGGCACTTCCCCTCTGCAAGCTTTTACCAAAAACTTCGGGTAGAAAACTTTGTTCATACTCAGGGGATCACAGCCATATCAAAAATGCTTTATTGCAACACGAATTCAACAATATTGTATCACAGACTCCACAGGTTGTCAACTAAGTATTGGTCAAATGTAAAATATGGATCTCATACATAATATCCAACGGAGAGAATATACATATCATAAAAGAGAGAAGTATCGAGCTAAATACACTCAAGCTTGAGAATCGGACGGCCAGATGAGGAGCAGCGGTAACTCCCCAGTTCCATGTTTTTGGATTCTTTACTCGAAGATGGCATTCAAGACCAATCATATCCACGAACTACGAAAGAGTAGACTAGGGTGGTTGGGGTGTGTGCTGGCTGCTCTCTCCATAGCATTCTTCACGGCTTCAACAATGCCGAAGTAACCGACTTTGACAGTGCTGAGGTAGGGGAGGTTCTCGATTCCAAAGTCCAGAGAGTCTGCTTCAACTACGCACAAATAATTAAGCACAAGTTTTTCTAGCTTGGGCATGGATCCTACCGCAAACATCAAATTTACCGGGTAAAGACTTGCATCATAAATAAAAATCCTCAAGAACTGGAACCCAACTTCACCACTGATTCTGAGTTTTTCGTTTGACTCTGTACCTTCCTTTAGATCCAGAATGAGCAGAGTGGGTAAGGCTCCAAGGATGCAGAGATCATCCTGGTTGACTCCTTCCACTTCAAGGCGTAGCTGTTGGAGATTTCTGAGGGAGCCCATCCATTTGGGAACATGTGGGAGGGTTGAAGACCAGATAAAAAGTTTCTTGAGGGTAATCAGACACAAAGGTTGTTGTAAGATGCTGCTCCCATCCGAAATAATCAAAGAGCGGAGATTCTGTGTGCCTAGCTTACACAGGGAAGAGACGATAGCTTGGTTGCGCTCTTGGATTGCATTTGTATCCTCAGTGAGAGAATCAACTTCACATACTTCAGCACACGATTCTTAGGGTCAATGTTCATAATAATGAAATCAAGAAGCTCTTCAGGAGGAGGGACCAAAGGAGATATAAACAGCAAATCCCCGAAGCTGGACTTGCTTATTACATCTCTCTTTTTCCCTTTGATGTCATTGGCTATTTCGCGCAGCCGCTTTGCCGACCAACGAGTTTGAAAGATAGGCATTCTGCAAAACAAGGTTTGAAAGAACATTAGCTAGTCCAACTAATTTCAGATAAACATGAGCTAAAAAAATCATGGGAAAGTATTGGAACAGTAGTTAAAATTTCAGAGAAAGGATATATTGTAGTTTCAGAAAACAAAATGGATAACTACATGAGTAGTTTCAGAGAAAAGTATTGAAACATGACCTACAATAACTAAATTTCAGAGAAAACATATATGTAGTTTCAGAAAGCAAAAACTAAGTTTCCTGTGCTATAAGCTAGCAGTACCAAAATTCCTGAAGCATAACCTACACTAATGCATCACTAATTGCTACAGAAACTTCTATCTGAACATCAAATTGACTACAGAAACTTCTCTGTGAACATCAAAATAATGTATCACTAATACTCAAGCCAGAAAGCTACAAAAAACTTTGAGCTGCAAAAATTCAGAGATTACCTACTAGCCAATTTGAGCTATGACAACCAAGAACATCAAAGGACAGGAGAACCTAGAACATTCAGAGATTACCTAATAGCACAGCAAACGGATAGCATACATGGAGCACCTACAGCCAAATTTGAGCTATAAAAATTCCTACAACACATCACTATAACGAGCCAATTTTAGCTACAAAGGAATCAGAAGTTTCTACAACAAAAACAGATCTGAGAAATCCCAATCCCCTGCTACAACTACACATCTACAGTCCAACACCTACATCGGTGGCGCCGACGATGGCGCCTCACTACAACAGAGCACCACTGCGACGAGCCCGCGTAGCCGCCGAGGAGGAGCCGCCGAGCAGAGGAGAACCATCTGAGAGCCGACCAGAAATGGGGGGAAGGAGCACGCGGCCGTACCTGCTTGTGTCGTCGCCGGCCACCGCCGACCCCGACACGGCCGTCGTCGCCACCGCGTTGGATGCGCCCGCGTCACCCCCGCCGTTGGTCGCCGCCCGCCGTTGGTCGCTGCCTGCCGTTGCCCTACCACCACCGCCGCCGCCCTAATAGACACAACGGAGCTGCGGGAGAGGGAGCACTGCGAGAGCGTTACAGCTGCGTTAATTATTCCTAAAACAGCTGCACAGTTTCAGAAATGTTTGCGCGTGACGCGGAAGCGAGGAACGCTCTCGTCCGTCTGATCAACACACGATCCGACGGACGCGGAGCCGGCGGACGCGCAAGCGTTATCGGTCGGTTGAAGGTAAGCTTTTCCCAAAAAATAACTATTGTTGGTATTTCAATTTTTTTTGGAAAGAGAGTGTGTGTGAGTTGTCTATTTCGGATAAACAAGAAAAGGGTGCATGATCTCGATGAATTATTTCTGAATGAATTCAGAAATCATATGGAAGAACCATAGCATTTGGTACTCATTGGTAAATCGATTTTGATTCCCTATAAACCAAATAGACTTAACCAAAGATGGTCCTTAGGTCTAGGATTTTTGTTAACCAAAATATAAAAATAAGTAGAAACCTAACAACTAACATGCACAACAGAGAAGAAAAATGGCAGTCCATTTTTATTTTTTTAGCTCAGTGGTCATCTGCTGACAGTTTTGGGTTTAATACCAATATTTTACCGACAAACCTAATAAATTGGTTTAATACCAACATTTTACCAACAAATCTAAAAAATCTAACTGTAGTGGTTGGTGTTTTGATTTTTTTTTAAGGGAGTGTGTGTCAGTTATCTATTTCAAGAATAGATTGGATCTATCAAGTTGCACTTTATATTTCTTTTCAGATAAATAAGAAAAGAGTGCACGATCTGACGAATTACTTCTGAATGAGTTCAGAAGTGAGAAGTCATATGGAAGAACCATAGCATTTGGCACTTATTGGTAAATCAATTTTGATTCTCTATAAAACAAATAGACTTAGCCGAAGATGAGTAGGACCTGGCCGTAAATCTAGGATTTTCATTAAAAAAATTATAAAAATAAGTAGAAACCTAACAACTAACATGCGCAACAGAGAAAAAAATAGGAGAGTAAAAAAAAGGATGGAAGCCGAGATGAAAATCATTTGCCAAAAGATATCAAAAAGAAAACAACACAGCAAAGGGCGTCTCCTCTGCTAGTAGAATAACTAATTTGTCATGAAGAGACGAACATCCTCATTAGGCATTAACTATTGGCAACTTATAAACGCTAAGTGGCTCTATCGTCTTGACGTAGGAGAATGTCCGGCACCAGCCGGCTATTATCGCCGCGAGCAGCGTCCCATGAGCCTGGTGTCTGACCCGCACTGTCACCGCGTAGTTGGATGATGACCACATGCCTTTCTGTCTGTAGTGCCCACATATCGAGCACTCCTGCAGTGTCAAGATGCACTCGCCATACACGAAGTGTGGCCGCGGGACACGATACCGCGTGAGGTTGTACCGATAGCTCCACTTTCGCCGTCCCTTGTCCATAACCCACACCTTTAGGGCAAGTCTAGCGAGCGCCCGGCTGCTCGGTAGCCGTCCCGAGCGGCCGGCCTAAATTCTAAATCGTGTGTGCGCACTATTTATCCGAGCCGAGCGGCTCACTAGAGTCGGGTGCTTTTTTGTCCCCTCAGCTGCCGCCCAGTCCAGCCTTCCTTTCTCGTGATTCACTCCCCACCCACCGCGGCGACATGGCCGCCGCCCTCACGCACCATGTCAAAATTCAAAAAGCTATAACTTTCGAATTACATGTCAAAATTAAAATCCGTTCCCACCATCGGAACCCTCGCGACGAGATCTTTAAAAGTAGACCCCATTTATATATGTTTCGATGAACTTTTTTCATTGCCAACTGGTTGTACTAGATGGTGCAACTTTTATACTATGAGATGCAACTATTTTTTAGACCACCGTTTGTGCTACCACAACCAATTATAATACAACGTGATGCAATTTTAGTGCTACATGAACCAACTTCACGTAATGAGCAGTTGGCCGAGCGGAAGTAGAGGGAGGAGAGAGGCGTACTAGGCAGCATCAATCAAGGTAAGTTCCCTTTTGGCTCCAGATCCTCCCTTCTTCACTTCCCCTTCCCCTTTGCCTCTGGATCTACCACCAATCTTCTCCTAATTGAAGGGAGTAGCAACAGTAATCTAATGTCTCTGTAATTAAACACCACTTTGTGCAAGTAGACCCAGTAGCAAAACCAACTTCTGCCTGGATGTGTGCAAATAGACACAAGGGAGTAGTTTTGCAAAAAAAAAAATGTGCAACAAACAGCCCAGACTAGAAACATGGAGTGGATGTAGTGTCTGTGCAAATAGAAGTCCATATTTGTGCAACTAAATCGTGGATCCAAGCCAACTTTTTCTACAATGTGTGCAACCAACAGCCAAAACTATAAAGGAGTAAATATATTTGCACACTAAGCATTAATCCAATGACATCTTTCCTGCAAAATATGTGCAACAAACAACCCAGACTAGAAAGATGGATTGGGTGTACTGTTTGTGCGAAAAGAAGTACATATTTGTGCAACTAAGCCATTAGTCCATAACCAACTTTCCTGCAATATGTGTGCAAAAAAAACATCCCAGACTAGAAAGATGGATTGGGTGTACTGTTTCTGAACATATTTGTGCAACTAAGCACGGGTCCAAGCCAACCTTTTTATGCAAATGTACAACAGAACAGCCCAGACTGGAGACCATCTGTTCTAATCTTTTGGCTGTTGGTTGCACACATTGCAGGAAAAGATGGTTTTGGATCCATGTTTAGTTGGCACAAATATGGGCTTCTATTTGCACAGACACTACATTCAGTCCATCTTTTCCTGCAAAAAATGTGTACAACCAACACACATACTAGATGAAACTAAAAAAGACTGAGTTTGCTGTCTGCAAATATAAACATATAATTGTGCAACTAAACTTGTATCCAAATCCCAACTTTTTCTATAAATGTGTGCAGCAAAGAAACCAGACTAAAAAAAGCACAAGAACAATATTAAAAATGAGCGTACAAATAGGCTTGTCTCACACAAATTGCATATAGGGGGGAGATGTTCTATAGGATGTTACTAAAAGTAAATAGGAAAGAAGATGAAATTATTTTTCTTGTCACGAGAAAAAGGTGCCAAAGGTGATCACATTCCGACTTGAGCACATGCGGTTTCGCAAAACAAAAGGAGCCAAAGGTGATTAGTTAACATTGCACACAAAATATATGTTCTTCTGAAAAACTAGATAAAAAAGGTTGACGATGCCAACTTGATATTATGTTAGTTGTGCAACTACAAAATGCATAGGATGCCAACTAAAATAGTTATTCTTGTGCAACTAGAAAGGTTGAGGATGTTAACTAGTTAGATGCTATTGTGTAACTAGAAAATGCTCAGGATGCCAACTAATTAATACTCATGTGCAACTAGAAAGGCTGAGGGTGCCAAGTCATTAGATACTCTTGGGCAACCCTCAAAAATTTGAAGATGGGACTAAAAAATTAGTTACTCTTGTGCAACTAGAAAGGTTGAGGATGTCAATTACTTGGATAATGTTTGTGCAAGTAGAAATGCTAAGGATGCCAACTAATTGAATACTATTGTGCAACTATAAATATTGAGGATGCCAATTAATTAGATACTCGAAAAGAAATATTCATCGCTTGCATGACCGATCAAAAATTGCACATTCAGGTTTCAGGCTTCTAGAAGAAATGCTGAGGGTGTCAACGCAGCTACAAAAAGACTAAGGATGTCAACTAGTTGGATGGTATTGTGCAATTAGAAATGCTGAGGATGCCAACTAATTAGGTACTCTTGTGCAACTAGAAAAGTATGAGGATGCCAACTCACTTAGATACTCTCTGGGACACGTCATCATCCTCTCCATCCCCGTCATTATCAGTGCCACATGGTTCCTGCTTAGCACCCCGTTTTGAGTCCCGCCGAGAGGTCCTATTTGGAGAACCCTACAATGAACAAAAAAGATTGAACTACTGAGAGGGTAAAAGAGAAGAGCATAATTAATGGTCATGGGATAAAAGAAAAAGAAAATATGAACCTTTGTTTCACTGCCAGGCACCTCTCCTTCACCAATCAATTTGTCTCTTCAAAACAGAAAAAGAACAAACATATTTGTCAAATTAACAAAACTCCCCCCCAGAAACAGTTATACTACTTGGTTGGCAAGTTAATCAAAACAACTTGGATAAGGGGACCTGCCTAGTTGCAAAAAAAAGGCTACAAAATGCCTTTGTATCACCGTGTGATCCACATCGTTTGCATGCTCACTGTGCAACTAAAAAAATAGCAGCCTTAGAAAGACTACCCTGGTTGAATTAAAATAAAAGTTGCACATGATTTGCTGCCAAGTTGTACAAAAAAACTGCCAGCCAAAAACAAAAAATTCCATCAAAAACAAAAAGTTAGGTTGGCTATTTTTAAACATGAAGTTGGCGAGTTCAATATAACAGGTTGCACAAGGAAAGCTACCCCGGTTGCACAAATGGCTAAAAAACATTCACACAAAATCTGCGAAAACTTCTAAATAACTAACCCTAAGACCCCTAACGTTGCAACATCGGACAAGGATGTCCCGTGTTGATACTGCCCAGTTTTTGGTGGACATGCATGGAGTGGCGGTTCATAGTACAACTCCAAATAAGACACTACAAATCACAACCGAAAAGAACGTATGAATAAAAATATGTTGCTTTGGTGCAAGTCTGGTAACAGAAATGTTTCAGTGCTCCGACGTCCTGTGGCGGAGACGTCATCTAGCCGACATAGTATCACTACATTATGCAACTTCTCAAAGGTCGTATCCAACTGAGAACTACTATGTGTGCAACTACAACTACTGTGGATACCAAAAAAAATGTGACTAGCAAAAAAAAAAGATAAACTTAAGCAAAATCATCATCTAGCCAACTTAGTATGGCTGTGTTGTGCAATTTCGCAATGATCGTGTCCAACTTAGACTACAACCATAACCAACTTAGTACAACTGTGTTCTATCAAAACTATTTCCATTGTCTATAATAATCCTACAATAGTTCAGACTATTTCCATGTCCTAACTGAAAATGATTTAGCGAAAGTTTCAGTAAACTGTTCGTCAGACTAGTACAGTAGTTTCGAACACTGTTTTCCAAGCACAAGGAGATTAGCACTGACTCAACTGCAAACAGCACTGCTATACACACGATTTTATACACATGATTTGTGGACGACGCTAAAATTACAGCGTACGATGCATGGCAGCAGCACTGGTGCATCGTTGGATATGATTGTCGGTTGTATGTCATGCGTGCAGTTTCGGCTACACATCAGTTTGGAACTGCAGATATGAGGAGAAGAGTAGGGAGTTTAAGGCCTCGATCTGACCAGATGGCGTCAAGACGGAGCGAGATTCGATCCCCGCGGCTGTAGCGCACGCACCTAGGGCTCCCTCGAAGCCAAGGCATGTTGGCCGGCCGCGGGGGCGCGGGGGAGAAGGAGGGATCGCCGGCGTCCTCGCCGAAGATGAACTGGATGGAGTCGATCGAGTCGGGGCGAGATCCGAGGCCCGCGGTTGTGGCCCGTGCTTCTAGGGCTCCCTCGGCATGCGGGCGATTGTCGGGGAAGCGGGGGAGAAGGAGGGCTCGCCGGGGTCGCTGCGGCGGCGGCCGCCGCCTCGCCTCGGCTTGGTGGAGAGAGTGAGCGAGCGGAGGGAAAGAAGGAACCAGAGCCGCTGTGAGCGAGCGGAACAAAGGGTTGTCGGCTAGCGCGGCCGCTCGTTTCCACCAGATGATGGCCGGCCGCTTTTTAGATTTTGGGACACCTTTATTGTTCCCGAAAGGCTACGGACAACCCGGTTGGGCAGTGATCAGGCCTGCCCGGTTGGGCAGGCAGCCCCTTGACACGAGTGACCTCCTCGCTCTCGAGGTCAAATGACACGACCCAACTTGATGTAGGGTGGTACCCGAAGCTGTACGCCTCGTGCCAGTTCTCCCAGGAGGCGTATCTCCCCGCAGGCGGGAAATACGAGAGTGCGCAAGGCAGCGGCGGGACGGGGAGCACCTCGTCGGTGGCCGGGTTGACCAGGGTGACGGCGCCGCCGGGAGCCGTCTTGTTGTCGCACAGGCAGAGAAGACCATTGCACGTGCCGATCAGCTGCAGGCTACTAGGGGGCCGCATGTATGGTACCGCTCTGTCCCGACGCCACAGCTCTTTGTAGCTCGTCGTCGACGGCTTGGACAGGTCGCCGACGACGTAGGCGACCGCCTCCCGGGTATCCCAGAGGAGGGCCGTGGCGCGGCTCTGCATCTCCGTGGTGCACTCGTCGATGACGTCGCGCCAGAGCCTGCAGACGAGGCGGACTCGGCGCCGGCAAATCGGCGGCAGCCGCAGCAGGATCTCCACCAAGACGTCCGTGGGCAACTCCGAGCGCCCCGCGTCGTCCATGGCCATTGTTGCAATCTATTTTCCCTTCTTGCTTTTCTCTTTCTTTCGGTTGTTCACCACGATGCGTTGCCCTTTGCACGGTCGTTTTCGTTTGTATTTAACATCACGGCTATGGTTTGATTCCGACTTGGTAACCGATTTCCTCTTTAAATGTACTGCTATTTGGAAAGATTCTTTGGTGAGAACGTGATGAAATCGGAACAGGTTTGACACAACACGCACAGAAGATTTCGAAATTTCAACGGCTATTTTGCGTACCAATACAAGTTCAAGATAATGCAATTTCGTTCATAGACGAACAAGTACACTGAAGCTCTGTACACAAGGACTACACGCTCACAGTATTAACTACTCCCTCAGAATCATATAATATGCTTAAAGCACACACAGAATATGTGTGGTTTTCATCAGGATTCCGGGTTGTTGATGTTGCTTCCCAGGTGTCCTGCTCGGAGCATCGACATGAGGCCTCCACCGTGCACCCTCCCCTCCGGCACGACGAACCCGAAGCTCCGGTTCAGGCTAGCACCACCTTCTTCTTCGTGGCCATTACCCGGCAGGTTAAACGAAGACGATGGTTTCTGCAGGGAGCCTGCAGGAAGCAGCAGCTGTGGCGGTATGAGCCTGCCGCTCTGCAAGTGTCCTTCCGGCGACTCGCCGCAGCAGTCTGAGGAGGCGCCGCCGGGGAGAGAAGAAGAGATGACACGGTCCATGCCGCCACTGCCCACCGTCGAGGAAGAAGAGACGACGATCCCGCCGCTGAAGAGGCCATGCCCGATGATCATGCTTAGGCCCTGCTTTGAGGCCGTCAGGTTTGCATGAGCAGAGCACAGGCCGCTCCTCCCCCTGGCAAACTTGTCACAGCCGGCGGCGCCCCAGGCGCACCGCTTGCCCCCGCCGTGCGCCTTGCAGAAGTCGGTGCTCCCCTGCGCGCTCTTGCCGCACCCATCGGATTTGCAGCGCTTGCCACCGCCATGCCTCACACAGCAATCGGTGCGACCACGAGCGCTCTTGGTGCACCCTGGTGCCACACACCTTTTGCCTCCTCCATGCACCACGCAGAAGCTGGTTCTGCCGTGGACACTCTTAGGACACGCCGCCGCGTCTCCCTCAAAGAGGCACCTCTTCCCACCGCCATGCCCTTTGCATAGCAACGTGCTGCCCTCGGCCCCTTTGGTGCAACCTTCGGATATGCACCGTTTGCCTCCACCATGGGACTTGCAGAAGAGGGTGCCTCCCTGTGCTCCCTTGCTGCAGTCCGGGTACTGGCACCGTCGACCGCCTCCGTGTGCGATGCACACCCTGGGATATCCCTCGGCGCTCCGGGTACAGCCCTCCATCATGCACCTCTTCCCTCCACCGTGTTTTATGCAAAATCCTGATCTTCCCCGTGCTGCTTTGGGGCATTCCTGAACCCCGCATCGGTGCCCTCCGCCATGAGCAATGCAGAACTCTGTCTTCCCTTCGGCGCTTTTGGTGCAGCCTAGCTCTTGGCACCGCTTTCCTCCTCCGTGAGATTTGCAGTACGCCGTTCGGCTCTCGGCCCCTTTATTGCAACCTGGCTTTTGGCACCGGTGACCGCCGCCGTGGGAAATGCAGAGTCCTGATGCACCCCTTCCGCCCTTGGAACACCCATTGAACCTACACTTCTTAAGATGGCGTTGATGACTTTTCTGCTCCCCATTATCAGTACTATCTACTGTATCTGAAGTTGCGGCAAAAGAACAACCAGTTGTTGCTGAAGGCTCGGGGCTAAGCTCAACCTCATGCTGCTCAAGAGATAAATCATGATCGGCCTCATATCCGGTTCCAAGGTGTTGCTGGAGATCAATAAAAAGACCATCTGATCTTGGAGCAAACAGAGGTGACACCTCATAATCACCTGATTTCCTTTTGGCTGAAGTTGATCCCTCGCCAATATGTGGGAAGACAATACCATTTTTTCTTTTATGTGAATGCTCCTTGCGGCCAGGCACTGTCGTGGACTGTAAATTTCTTGAGCTGCCTCTTGAAGTCCCCACCACTAACCCAGGATCACTTGCGGTACAATGTTGGGTGAACAAAATTCCAGATAATTTAACTTTGTTCCCACCGGATGATTGGCTATCAGCAGAATACAGATTTGGCATTGGTCCAAGTCCTAGGACCAGCCTGCAGTCATCATCAGGAACAGGGGAACTTCGACTCCTCTGCTCGAATGATTGTCTAGAAGTCTCAGCTGCTTCTGAGCTCCCGAGGCAACCAACTTTAACTGATGCTACATCTAGGCCTTCATTCCTGCAATTTGCTGCAGCGGGTTCAACTTGAGAGAATGAAGCAGCTATGTGTTCCTTCCCATGAACACAAAGATTTGTCATATTAAGGTCCATCCCAGATAATATATATAAGGTAGGATTAGGACAGAAAATGACTCGAGCGCTGTCCAGTGGTCGATAGCTTCTGCTGACTAATTAGAACCCCAGTTTAACAACTTCACCACCGAGAAAATATATAGTATACACAAAATGGAAGCACACGTCAATGTTCTTGCAATGTGAGCCACTACCAAGAAAGCCTGAAGTATCAGCTCTGTCCATGAGCAATAGGCTTACTGGTCCCGAACGAGAAACGATGATGTTGCAGCACTACGGGCAAAAATCATGTGCACTGCATCTTATGCATAAAACAGAATCCACAAACAGACTTCATGTCACACAATTAAATGTCCTCTGAGATCTGCAAGAAAGTCAGGTAGCAGGCAAAATTTAGCTACACAAAATAAGAAGTGATCAAAAGAAAACAACTGACAGAAGCTAATGTTTCTTAAATATGAAGGAGAACTCAAAAGACTAAGTACCAAGCCTACTCATCCACAACCAACTTAATGTTTCTGAAATAGAACAAGAACCACAGGTGAAAATCTTGCAAGGAAATCCAGACATATGAGATCAACAAGTACCAGTTCATACGACCTTGGACAAAAATGCTAACAGGAATACATCAAACATATATCTGATCAGCCGGTGCATGTATTTTCTGTTCATTAATGTACATGAGGAAATGGTGAATCATGATTAGAATTTGCGCTATGGTGTTTGCTTGACATGAACATGAATTGGCGCTATGGTGTTTGCTTAAAACCAATACAGCTGATTTCAGTACCTATACTGTAAATTTGAGTTGGAGTCATACATGTTAAAACTTCCTGGCACAGTTTAGCGGGACAAGTGGAAGAAAATTGTTCTTTTCACAACATCTAGAGCTTCGACTTCTTAGGGAAACAAATGATTTATTATATATATTTATATGCTGGGTTAAATTGAGAAACTAGGATATAGATACATATGGTGATAAATTGGTAATTATGTCCACATGCGTTCTTCTCATACTAGGATTTACTCAACCCAAAAATACTAATGAAGGGGTCAAAGGAAAAAAAATGTTTTCAGCCGACTCTAGAGGCAAAAATGGCAAGCATCATGTGTACAGCACCAGCAGCAAAATCCCAGAAACAAACCTATCTCAGAATGCAAACTTGATCCAAATCCATGCCAAACTGAATCTACCATGCCTGACAACATCAACATGACTCGATTGTTTCCGGCTATTGCAAGCACGGCAGAAGACTTCCTTTAATTTTCTTAGGAGTTCTATAAGGACTTAAAAGATACTGTAACAAATTCTTGGTTTAAAGCCTCAATTCATATGAAGTTCAGAAACCGCCGAAATAAGATAAACAAAGCAGCTTACAGTAAATCAATCTTTACAGCAAAGACAGCAGTCTGCCTGCCAATTTCGCGACTAAATTCACAAATGGTTCATTTTGCCAGTTTACCACTAGAATCCATTCAGTTAGCCAGGAGAGCTAGTAAATCAAGACAGACAAAGCATCCTGCAACCTGAAGGTTACACACACACACACACACACACACACACACACACACACACACACACACGGTTCCTATCGCCTTCAGGCTTCAGACTGTTATCCAGCAGAGCCCAGACAGAGCCAAAAACTACCCCATCGGCCAAGCACACAAAGAAGCTCTGAACCCCTCACATCTCCACGGCAAAACAAGTACAGCGAGTGAAAAATGTTACAGAGCAGGGCATCAAAGCAAGAACCAGCGAGGGGCGCAGGCAGATCCGTACCGCGGGACTGGACACTGGAGGGAGGCTGGAGAACCCGGGGGCGCCGATCGAGGCGAATGGGTGGACTTGGAGGAGGGGCAGGCCGAGGCCAGTGGGGCGAAGAGGCGGAGAGACGAGGGGAGGTGGGAAATAAAGAGGCGTGGGGAGGAAAAGGTGGGAGCTTTTCGCCATGGGGGGCATGGAATTTGGCCCTTGGGGCTTCCAGAGGAGAGAGCCGGATGAAATCGACTCGTCATGTCGTATGATTGGGGGGATCCCGACGGTCGGCTCAGCTCCGCCCCAGCCCAGCCGCAGACGACAGCTCGGCTTTTGGCCCTGTCATCGGTGTCGGGTGAGCCGTGAGCCAGAGGTCTTCCGTTCGCTGCGTTGGTCGGCGCCCTCCTGGCCGTCCGATCGGCCGGCACGGTGGATCGTGGAATGGTTTATCATGATTCTTTTTCCATGCGATATATTTTTTGCCATCCTTTGTAGGTTTAGACATAATTATGAGAACGATGTATATTTGGCAAGCACAATGCTAAAATTTCTTTTATTTTGACAAACATATTCCCGCTTTGTTTAGAAGAGTAAAAAACGAGTTTGGCCTCGGTGTGTAGACCGGTCAGGTCCATAGTTTGTAGAGGACCTCATAGTATCTACAGCCGGACATACCAAATCTGCGCCCTAAACGTCTGCGGAAGCACCCAGTCAGTGATGGATGTGTCCATTTTGAGCCTCTATTTATCCGTTCATGCAGTCACACTTCTCATTTTCTTCCTTATATGTCCGGTCATTTTGCACGTGTCCGGACATATAGAGATGATATGAGGAGTCTAGTTGGGTCACTTTTTTTATTTTCTCTCCTGTTCGGTCACTGACCGATTGCGTCCGCGGACGTTTAAGGAAGATTTGAGGATGCCGGTTGTAGATGCCCTCACTAAGCACCCATGCTTAGAGACGGTACAATCTCGGGCTTCCTCCCGAAAATTGCTGGAGAAGCATCTCGGGCGTGTTAGAAAATTAGAGAGATCCCGGGAGCATCTGATGCTTCTTGCTTGACTTTTACATATCTTGTTCTCGCTTTCATGTGGAGAAGACCAAAAGTGTGTGATGAGATGAGCCTCCTCAGACACAACTCACTCAAAGAGATTCACACATATCTCATCGTCGATAGCCAATAGGTGGGGCAAGATGGCCCACCTGAAACATGACTTGTCCGAAGAGATCCATACATGTTTGGTCGCTGAGAAAAGCGAAGTGCGGGACAAGATGAGACACATGCAACACAACTTGCTCGAAGAAATCGGACCATTTCATTGTTGAGAAAAATCAGAGTGTGGGACGAGACGGGTCACCTAAGACATGAGTGTGGGACCTAGC